ATATTTTTATGAGAAAGTATTCGTTTCTAATTAAATGCACAGCATCCTAAAACCACATAAAAATAAAACATTTATTTGCACATTCTCCCTCAAAATGAGCACGTGAGTCGATGGAACTGTGAGCGTATATTTTACACTCAAATTGCGTATAGTACACTCAATTCTATGTTTTATTTATAACACAGTGGATTTTATCATCCAATATTGATCAATTGAAAAGCTTTCGAAATTACGTAGTCATTGTGCTCTTAAGCATAAAATAACACACACACACATATGTACTATAGAGGATACGATTTGGAGGTGTAAATAAGATACACTCATTTAGCATTCATTTTCCGCTCTTGATTTTGTTGTGCGAGTACGTATCTAGCCGTCCATATTTTTTTTGTTATAAAAGAAAATCCGGTAAATAGTGAAATAACAAGTAAAGACCAAAGCAAAGTAATGAGAAATAAGCAATAAAAATCAGATATGCTTATACGTATGTATGTTTGCTTGTAAGAAAAATTGTATTGCTGAGTTAAAAGGAAACAATAAAGGTAAATGACAAGAAGGAAAACAATCAAATAAGGAGTTGAAATAAATGAGATCGAAAAAAATACATCAAAGAGTTAAAGAATCAAGTGTGCAGTACAACCGATATACATAAATACATAAATAAATAAATACGCGCATAAACCGTGTGCAGTGAATTGTGAAAGAAATTTGCATATTTAATCGTGTAGCAATAACAAAAGCCAGCAACAGAAGCAAAAGCAACAGAGCAACAGCAACAATGCCTGAAGCCAAATCCATCTTCCCTTTCGTTTATACACCGGAACCGCCCAAGAAGGCGGCAATCATAAAAGTCTCTTGCGGCATCGGTGATACGGACGGATTTCCCGCCTTTGATGTTGACTCAGATGCTTATGCGGCCAAAGATGATCCCAAATGGGGTTTCCTAATCACGGGCGGTGCAGAATTTCACATGCCGCTGACGGTATTTCAGGTGAGTTCGATGTACGCGATATTGCTGTATACATATGTATGTATTTTATGCCAATTTATTTATCTATGTGTTTGTACGAGTACTCATAAATAAATAAGTATGTATGTATAGGCAAGCGAATAATTGTAATGGGGATATTGTTTTTTCACTGTGTCTGTGCAGACGTTGAGAGAGCGTATAATGTACGAGCCATTTCAACTGAGCATATTTTCAGATGGACAGTAGAGTCTAGTTGGTCCCCATAAAAAATAAAAAAAGTTAAAGTTATTAATTTTGTTAAAAATAGAGTTCCCTTTAGTGGCTTTGAAATTGAGTTATTTTAAATGAGTAGGGGTATGAGCTAGTCTTGGTCGACGAGTTGTTAAAAGGGTATATGCTTAGTACTCAAAAATATCTTGAAATCGAGAAATAAAAAGGTTAAGAAGATATTTCGATTTTGGCTATTTTTAGGACTCCTTTTTATGACCCTTAATTCCACTCAGCTCTCAAAATAGGGAGGTGGTAAATGTAAACTTCTTTTTGCGACCCATCAGTCTAATGACCAGACAAACCGCTTAGCCTGCCTTTGTCCTGGGCATTCATCCCAGCTTTTAATTAGTCTTTTGTCTACCCAGTAGTTGATGTCCCCCATTGTATGTGATGTATTTAGCCCAAAAATTGGTTACAGAGAGACATGGAATACTGTAGCTACCTGCGGATTCGCCTAGTCGTTGCCATCATGCCTTGCATGCTCCGGTACCCATTCCAGTAATACTTGGCTCCAAGAGGGTTTAGTGCGCTGAAGAAATCATACATATATCAGCATTGATTTTATTTTGTTAAAACATAGATGCATTTCGAAGCATTCGAAAAATTGTAATGAAAAAGTTGGACATTAAAAAACATTCATGTCATTACGTTAAATAAAATTATAGTTTAAAAAACTAAAACCTCCCTATTATAATTGCCATTCGTACTGTCATCCGGTATGTAACTTGAGAATAGAAATCGCTGCATCTTTTAGGCGCATCAATATTACATAGTAACATCCCGAGCTAATAAAAGGGAGGTAATAAAATAAAAATAGCATGTAAATTCATTTCCACATGGCATTTTTTAATGCCTCCAATTTTTTGTAATTTTAATTCCTAGTAGAAATTCGGAAATTTACTTGAGGCTGCGATTTTATGATTTCTCGTTCACTGAACAACTTAATAGCGCAATATCTCGTATCCGATAAATGTCAAAATGTAATACCCCGTATAAGTTAGTCCGAAAATTTCGCAAAAAAGAAAAGAGGCTTATTTTCAGCAAAACTTTTACTTACTAAATATGACTGTAAGTAAATATTCATCATTAAATTTTTGAGGTCGGCATGCATTGAGACAGGGTAACCAAAATAAATTTTTTGCTGTGCCACCTCATATATTTATGGTGTTGCATTTGGTGGATACGAGGTACTTATTACACGTCAAGAGTATCAGGGATTTAAAAGCCCGGACTTTTAGATACTTTACTAGTTTTTGGAAGTTGCAACTTAAAAATTTCGGAATTTAGCTTACTCATATGAATTTAGGTTGTTCAGTTAAGACAAAGGTGAAAATTACCTAAGTCACATCTGTTAAATATTTATGGATGAAGGTGTTATTCGGAACTACTGGCTCAGAAAAGGAAAATGTGATTTAATTCACAAATTAAAGTCTTGTATATTTTTTTCCATCATATGACTGCAGAAAATGTTTTCAAATATTTATGTAATACATGCATACATATGTCTTTGAGTAATCTGTAGAAAGTAAATTTACTCCCGGTTGGTTGCTCATAAGCGTATGAAAGCACAACTTTATGAACCATAAAAACCTATTTGATGTAATTAATTAAATAAAGACGAATGAATGAACAAATTAGCATCATTATTTACGCCGTAGAATTGCTCTCGATTAATGTCCTATAAAGATATACATACAAATATACGCATACAAAATTCTAATTCACAAAACGCAATATGTCGCACTTAAGTACATAAAGCTATAATTAAATCTGCCGCAAAAAAAAAACAACAAAGTAACATAAATAATAAATAGCAGCAAAGATTAGCCTGCTCCCAATTCGCTGAAATTTCACGTCAGATGCATCATATGCGACACGCTATAAAAACATATGTATGTATGCATAAATATTTCAAACGCAAAACGAAAAAAATGTATACAGACTTATGTATGTTTAGATGTACGCACACTTCCACACGCTTGTTGAACATTTTTATTTTCCTAAGCTTGTTAATGTGTTGTTGGCCAACCACTTGCCGCAAGTCATTCATTCAGAACCCAAATGAGATAAGCCACCGTACGTACGGGCTACTGAAGTGAAAACAAAACAAATATTTTACGAGTATCAGCATAAATTTGCAAAAGGCACATAAGTACTAAGTACGCACATAATTAGTCAAAGTTTTGTAACAGCGTAACAAAAAGTCAATGATTGCATCTGTGGCAGTAAAAGCTAAGCAGGAATCTGGGGAAATTAGTATTTAATAAGACACAAAAGTTAAACTTTGCTTTTGATGAAAAGAGAGTTTAACCATTCGTGTCAAAATGATTGATGATTTCGAAATTTAAAAAAAGCAAGTCCGCAACAAAATATGCCATTAAAAGCGTTTGTTAAATAGAAAATCTTTCAAAGAAATTCCAATGAATTTTAAATAAGCTATTTATGCATCAAAATGTGTAACTTTTCTAGAAATGTCGGGCTGTAGTTGCTCCTACGCACCACTAAGCAGTTGCCAGACGGTGATTTTTGCTAGTGACGTATTCAGGCTGAGATGTGGTAGCCCCAATGTTTTTGCAGCGTTATTTTATATGCGATTTCGAAAGCTTTTAAGTAATCGTGGGACAGAAATTGACATAGTTTTGAGTATATTGCATAGATCACGCGAGAAGATACTCCGTTATTTTGAATTTTTCGTCCCAAATTCTTCATTACACTTTTATCCTTTAGGATCTGACTTGCGTTGGTTTTTAATATACGCACTTGAATCGTTCTTTCGACCATATTTGATCATCTTCTATGCAATATTTGATCTACAGGCTTCGCGAAATTGTGCAACCATTAAATCAGATCATATTTTGGCAAAATTGGCGAAAAAATTTTGGCTCGCACCCTTATATTGGTCTCTAGAAATGTTAAAGGAAAATAACGAATTTCATCGCTTTGAGAAAAGATGCGCGCTAGATTTTTCTGTCTAGATCTTGCGATTAACAGAATTTGTGCGATGGGCAACATTAAATAACACGGTGCGACAAAAACCAAAAAATTTTTACCTGAACGATTTTCACAAAGACTTTGAAATTTCAAAAATATGATAAAATCAAGAAATAATTAATTATTAAATAATTAAGTTATATGGGTACCACACGGAGGAGAAATGTCTGTAGAATAAAAAAAAAAATGTTAAATATTTTCTCAGGCTAATAAAGTGCAAGACTCGGGGATGTGGCCAAACATAAATTAAAAAAAAAAAACTAAATTTCTACATTTCAAGGATATTCAAGCCTAAAATTTTAAAGGCCCTGTTTCAGTACCTGTTCGTACTTATGCACCAAAAAATTTAGTTCTAGAGAATTTTCCCTTTTATATGGTATCCATATTTTTATTTTACATTGCACTTTTAATTTAGCTTTTTAAATAATTTTTTTGAATTAATCATATCTGTAAAATTTCAAATTCCCGAGGTAAAATATTAAAGTATTCCAAAATCGCCCCGAAAATCCCGAAGTATTTAGCTTCGAATCCCGACAATAATCCCTAAATCGAGAAAATAGCAAATATTTACTATTTAGTCATCCTGTGAATTTAGTGAAGCCAAAAACTTACTTTGGTATGCAGTGTTTCTTTATGTTAAACCAACTAAATACATGGTTATCTGTAATTCACATCAGCCTGCTCCGAAAGCGAATAAACAGGAGTAAGTCATTCTCTGACAAAAAAGGTCCGAAGGCAATCAACCGAAACGTCTCAACAGCTGCTCTTTGAATACGATGCGAGAAGGCGGGGTCATTGAGCATTCAGCCAAAATATATATGTATGTATGTATGTACATTAGGGTGCGCCTTTTTTTTCAACTTTGCCCAAAAAAATACGTGCCTTAAGAGCCCTACAGTTGTGCAAACAAAGGCTTCATTACTACCAAACCTGGCGAGATATGAAAATGGCGTAGCCTTTTATAAGATCAGCGTGCAAAAGTGTGTTGATTGATAAGAAACAAATAAACACGTTTAACTGAATTACAAGCTCTTTTTCCTATTTAGTGAACTAGCGTATGTATCTTTAGGGCTCCTGAGGCACTTTACGTTATCCGATTTTGAAGATTTTTCGCAGAGCACATTTTCATAACCAAACGTACCTATCTGCATACAAATAAGGTGCACACTAATGTACAAGGGAGTTAGGACTGAACAAGTTATTGTTACACTAATGTTTCAAATTGTTCAGCAAAAATTTTAATTGCACTAATTTTGTAATACTAATAGTCCCAGAACAATTTATGGAGACATACAAACATATGGCTGCAGATCGATAAACTGTTTCATTTATGATATTTCAAATATTTATTTTTCTTGCATCGCTTGCCAAAAAATATTGTTCCTCAAAATAAATAGTATCCATTATAGTCAAATTACTGACTATTTTTGTTTGTGTAGCGTGTGTGTGAATTTAAAGCACACGACAGCCGTCAGCTGCCAGGCATCAGGGCTTTGGACAGTGGTTTTAAGCTGGAATTTACAGGTCACAATTAAATGGATTTTATTTTTAATGGAAGCTGAAAAAATTTAGAAGAGATTTTTCGTGAGCGATTTTTTAATTTTTACTTGTTTATGCTAGATTTTTAAGTGCAAAGTGCGGAAAAAGTAGCAATTTTAAAGAAACTCGAATATCCTATTCCTGTAAATAAATGTTAAATAATGAAAACTCGTTGATAGCAAGCATAGGACTACTCGTATACGAAAAAAATTACACGAATAAAATTTTAAATAATATTTTTTAATTGAATTTTTATATCAATTAAAGTAGGCAGATTTTAAGTTTCAAGTGGCTAATAAATTCCGTTAATCTTCATTAAATTTGTTTTGCTGACATTTTTAGTTCTGTTTATGTACATATGTAAATATGTATGTATAGGGAGAAAATGTCTAGCACCGTCAGCAAAAAAAAAAATATTAAAAAATTTCACCAATTCAGTGGGCTAATAAATTTAACATTTTTTTATAATATATCAATTTTTTTTTTTTAATTTTGGGGTTCCCACATAATTTTTTTAACTAGTTTTTATTGTGTCACATTTATTTTCGGAAACAGGAGAATCTGTTTTATTCAAAATTTCTACCGTTTCTGCACTTTTGAAACAGTAAATTCCAATTTGGTACCACTGTGCATTGTGGGCATGGGTTGGTGGAAAGTAGGTTGCCATTGCCTATTGAATTGCATTTGAATTGTGTTTTATTTTTATTTTTGCAAAACATAAGTCAGAGGGACGCACAAGCTGCGCAAAAAAAAGGGCCAGAATAATTGAATAAGATGAAAAACAACAGAACAAATTACTAAAACAAATGTATTCCTTTCATTTAAAATTTGCTTGCTAAAAATTTGCTTGAGCTAAAATTTGTGGCTTTCAAAATTTTGTGTGCTCATTGCTGTTGCGGACGCTTTGGTGAAAGCATTTATTATATTATTCGTGTATTAGCCGGGAGCTGGTGGGTAAATTTAAAGTGTCTCGTTTTTTACATGCAAAAGAAAATTGCGAATTTTTAAAAGGAATCGGAAGCTGTGCAAAGTTTCTTAACAATAAATGCATACATACATAATTTCAGTTGAAAATTTGTAAATTTTTTCTATGTACGCCAGAATTATGACGGACTTTGCAAAACATTGCAGTGAATGATGTCTACTGAATTGCTCTCAACTTTTTGCAGGTAACGCCCGACGGTTTAGCGGACAAAGGCGGCATCCGCTTGGGTGACATCATACTGGAAATAAACGAAGAGGACGCCACGGAGTTGACACTTACGCAGGCACACGAGAAAATTGAAACTTCCGGCAAGAAAATCCATTTCCTAGTGAAGAAGTGAGTAGTCGTTTTTTCTGGTAGTTTCATTAAGAAACTTTCAAATTCCATTTCCTGCACTTATAAAAGAAACCAAACATTTTTTTTGGCAGCATGGAGGAAGATCAGGATTTCGAATTGGGCGAGGAGAAGTCGATTGTGCTGCGTGTGCCGAAGCCGGCGCCACCGCCGAGAGGTGAGTGTGAAAATTTAGTTTTCCTACCTTAACCGCAGTAGTTAGTAGTTAGCTATGTAAATGTGGCAGGCAATGAGTTTTTCCATTTTGCTTTTGATTTTTGCATGGCATGCTTTGCTTTCCACCCCACTTATTTCGCACTTTTGCTAGATTTTTCGCCTGAATTTGCATGAATGCATGGAATATTTAATCTGTGTTATGCTAGTTTGCCCTTGCCTTTTTCGCCTAATTTTTGCTTTACTTTCTTTTGCCTTATTCTCACTCACTAACGCGGTTTTCTTGGTTTATCTATTTCGTTTATTTTTCGTAGAGTTCAACCCAACCCCATTGCTAGGCAGCCGTTTTTGGCATCCCATAATGTGGCACGATCCACCCGAGCCACCAAAACCGAAGAAAAAGAAAACCAAAACCGAAATCGATGAAGAGGGCAATGAAGTTATCATTGAATTGAGTGAAGACGAGTCCTCTGAGGAAGAAGAGGAAAAGGTGATTTGCTTAATGCACTTCAGCATTCGATATGATAATGTTTCCTTCCATGTTTTCCTTCTTTCCAACCACTAATTGACACTTTGATGGAAGCGCATTCATGAATTATTGACCAGTGGAATTCGATATTTGCGCGGTGATTGAAGAGCTTCTTTCATAAACGAATTTTAAAATAGAAATTGGTCTAGGAAGGGCATAAAGGTCAAGAAGTAATGGTACTAGTAGAATGGGCTTTATCATGTCCAGTATATTTGAAGTTGGGTAATTAAGTAAGTGAGAACATTCTTGCATTTTTTAAAGGGTTTCAGTATTTATTTACTGAAGACATAGACACGATATCAATGAACCTACATAAGGTCTTTGGGATAAAAATTAAATTATAAGAGATTTCGGCTGATTAAAAGGAATAGGCCCTTTGTATATTACAGGGGGGGGGGGGCCGAAAATAAGTCATTAAACTGTAAAGCTATTCTGTAACTCTAATGCCTAAGAGGTGAAGAAAAAGTAATGCTAGAGGGTTGTTGTTGTTGTTGTAGCGGCTACTAAGCCCCGCTAGGTTCGATTCATCCGTCAACGTTGCCGTCTGTTTCAGCTAAGGGGAGGCCCAGGAAGTATGCGACTTCAACAGGGTCTGTCCTTAAGGACAGGGACGTACGCTGGGTGGGGTTCTCAGGGCATGTGAAGAGGTGCCGAGAGTCATGTGGCGACTCTCCACATGCCGGGTACTGGTTGGGCATATCCTCATTAATTCTGCTCAGGTATGAGTTTAGCCTGCTGCAATAGCCAGAGCGAAGTTGGGCTATTGTGGTGCGGGTCTCCCGAGGCAGACAAAGTTCTGTCCCGTCCACGTCAGGTGGTTGTGTGCCTAGAACGGCATTCACAAGGCAAGAGTCTACATAACTCGAGACTGATTCTCTGTGAATGCCGTTCAGGGCTTGTCGGTAGGCTGACGGGTCCATAGGTTATTTTATGAAGCTCTGGACATCGTCCGCAGTTCGTAGAGATGCCTCCTTGGCGAGGGCTCTTCTGCAAGCAGCTGTTTGCTAGGATGACCACGTCTGTGGCTCCCCACAGGGAACTGTTTGCAGAGCATTGTGTTATGCTCCTTAACTGGCAGCATCTGGGCCTCGTCGTGTAGGTGGTGGTGGGGCGCCATCTGTAGCTTCATCTACTGCGTCTTGATAGTCCCAGGCGACCACACGGGCGCTGCATAGTTTAGAATCGGCCGCCCAATTGCCTTGTAGCTTGCCAACCACGTTTCTTTATCTTTGCCCTTAAGTACTGCCGGCCAGCGACTTGAGGACATTGTTGCGGCCCTGGACTTTGTTGATAATTGCGGTTGTATGCGCCGAGAAGGGGCGCAGACTGTCGAAGGTAACTCCGAGGATTTTCGGGTTATTCACCGTCGGTATTGTTACATCATCAACGTGAATACCCAGTTGCAGTCTGACCTCCTTCGTCCAGGTGGTGAATAGGGTTGCCGCGAATTTCGCAGGGGATAAGGCAAGGCTCTTTACAGTGAAGAAGCGATAAAGTTCGGCGAGATAACCGTTTACTTTCGAGCACAAGTCATCAATTCCATTCCCAAACGCCATGATCGAACAATCGTCAGTATAAGAGACAATATTTACACCCTCTGGTGGCTGAGGGAGCTTTGAGACATAAGGACACCACCCTGTGGTAATATCTTTTTAACTTTTCGTAGCTTGCTGGTTTTGTCTCTACTATGGCTTCGAGGAACATAGAGAAGATCGGCCAAGGTACCACGTAGTCTGTATAATCTTGGGGCCGTATATGCTAGTCTCAAACCGCACTAAATCATCGAGTTTCATTCTAGTGGCCAACGCTATGTTTTTGGTCAGTATGTCTGGGAATTGCATATATAGTTCACGGGCTATGTTGAGCTCAGATAGCTTGTGACTGCTTTCCTGGCATTTCAAATGAGTATACATATATATATATAGTTCTGCAAAACACAACCCGCCAACATGGCGTCCAACTTCAAGATATCCATGGAGTATCTGCCTGGACCTCCGCAATAGGCGCTGGATGGAAGATGTTTGTATTGTTTCACCTATTGGACTTCATGCAGAGAAAGTGAGGTTATGATCAGGAAAAATTTACACTCTGATGAAATGAGCTCAAGCTGAACACTCAGTACTAGTAGTCGAGTAAGAGCTTAAACTTACTTTTTGTGCCCAAGGACCATTCTTTTTACGAGAGTTTTTTGTAAATTTTTAGTTGCATAAAACTCCAAGCGAAGGCTTCTTTGCATCCAAAAAGCTACTCAGCATTACTGGCTTCATAAGGGTTACATGAGGATACCAAAAAAACCAAAAATGCAAAATGACTAAGTTTTGGAATGAGCTTCTTTTTACCTCTCTTTAGGCAGCACTATGATCAAGTTGACCAAGTTGAAGAGGTATACCAACTATTGACGGAAGATGAAAATCCTGAATAAATTTGCTCACTGTGGTTGGGCTTACTCCCCAGTAGGTATTCTCCTTCTTTTGTACTATCGGTTTTAAAGTTACGTGTAAATTTGTTATTTAAGTGAAGCCCACTTAAATTTCCTTCAGTATCTGTTACTTTTTCATTGCGTACAAATTCCACTGCAAGCTTCTATAACTAAAGTGTTTAATTATAAATTATTTCTCCTTGATCTTTGGCCTACAGGGCTATTTGATAAATTTCACGTGAAAGTTTTCTTATTACGCTTTAGTGCTTTACTTAAGTGCATTTTTGGCACAAGCATATCTCAGCCAAAAATCAATAAAACTTTTACAAAGCTGTTAAAATGCCATTGGCATTGCAAATAAACAGCTTCGATGGCAACACACAAACCGAACACAATTATCTTAACACTCACACCAAACCCACCACTAATGCACCTTCCTTTTTACGAGTGTCACACCAATAACTGTAAAATAAAAATTTTCTATCCACCTCCCACGCTGCTACCTATATCTGCTGCCACCTCAACGAATGCTTTAATGCTTACCGCCGCGTCACGCCACTCACCGCCCGCTCATTCGTGCGAGCGCAGGAATTGCCACATCATCGTATCATACGTAATATACGCCGCTTCTTCGCCGAGGTGGGCGACAATCACGAGTTGAAGGAACGCACCATTGAGGATATGCTGCTGGCGCTGCCCACAGCTTCGCGTTCCACAAAGCCAGCAACGCAACCGAGAGAGGAGCCTAGAGGTCGGCGTAACGCAGCAAATGCCAAGCGAAGAGGAAGAACAGGAGGCCGTGGTCGCAAATTGGCAAAGGATTCCGATGACGAAGATGAGGATGAAGACGAAGATAAATATGATGATAGTGATGAGGATTAGTGCGGCAAAGGGTGATTAGTCTGTCAAGAAAATGATTGCGTTTTAAAATCTCATTCGCTTTGTATACCATAAAAAGAATAATGTTAATAAATTGATATTCATTTTTGCTGACAAGCAAGGGATTATAACTAATTTGACGATGAAGGAAGAAAATGAATGAGCGTAGTGTAAATTAAGTATAACCTGCTTAGAAATAGCCGATGTTCGTAATAAATATGTATGCTTTATCTCTTAAGGGGAATTTGTTTATCTCCCTGAATTAGGACGGAGATAATTAAATTGAAATGAATTTTATAATAAAAAAAAACACAATTTAATCTTTTAAATATGTAGCCATTTATTTTTATTTTTTTTTTAATTTTTGATCTGATTGGACAGTTAATCGTAACCGCGATTAAAAAAAAATAATTTTTAATTATTAACCCTCAATTTGATTAAGTAGGTTTAGTGATCAATTAATTTATTCTGGTATTTTCCTGTGAACACAAGTCCAGTTAATCGGGTATGGCTAGGTATTTTGTTCTCATCAATATAAGCAATTTGATATGCAAACTAGGTATTTTATGTATTAATAATAACAATAATTATAATTTTTTTTTTTATATATTACTTATGTGTATTTTTATAAGCGTGAAACACAAATTCGGACAACTAGACCGCTTAATCAGGTTTTATAGGATAGGATTTTAATAGGATTTTAATTGAATTAACGATTAATGATTAAAATTAATTAATCGTAATCTCAACCGACAACATCAGTAGGTTACTACCAAGCAAAATTCGACTAAGAATATTTGTTACAAAATATCTGCATCAATCAAAATAATGGTATTTTCTCGCTTTTAAAAATAAATAATCATTTAACCACCTATATGTAGTTCTTTTTCCGTTGCTTTCCATTATTTAATATTTACCATTCCGTTTGGTTGCAGTTCCTAGTTATCTAAATTAAAATCTATTATTTTATTTTATCGATGTACTCAACGTTGTACTTATCAATATTCTAATTTCCTGTTCCCCCTAATAATTTTCAAACATCTTCCGCCACTGTAAATAGTAAAATCGGCTGCTTCAATTGAAGCTCGTCTGTGCGAAATGCAGCGAAAATTATCGGAAATTGCGGAAATACCGAAAATACTCTCCTCCACACTCGCCACCGTATCGCAAACTTTTGAAATATTAAAGCCCAATGATTTGCAGCAACAACAACTGCTACAGCAGTGCCAACAGCAACGCAAGTATTCTTACGATGAGGATGCACTGGATTACGAGTTAAGTGGCGCCAGCACTGCGGAACGTCTCAAGTTGAAGGCGAAGGGAAAAGCAAAGGCTAAAACCGCTTTCACACTGAACGAGGTAAGGCTGGAGCACTTGCCAAAGGACGCAACGCCGGAATCGGATTATGCATCGGAAGGCAATTACGAATCAAATGAGGCAGACACGGATGATGATTATGGGGATGGCGAAGATGGCGACGAAGATGGTGGCGGAGCCGATATTAGCGAAACTAGTGATGAGGAGTCGGACGGGAAAAGTACTTACACTTTCGCTCTAACCGGAATTGATGTTAGTGACGTTGATGCCGCAGAAACTGCTCAATATTCATATGTAACGCGAATGAGGCCGGCAAAGCTAAAGCAGCAGAAAATGCAGCGAAAGCAACAACAAAATGCGCAATACCAGCGCGGCAATGTCAATGTCAGTGCCGTTATAGGTGTAGGAGTAGGCGGCGCTGCTGATATGTCACGAATGCGGTATGAATCTAAAGATTATGACGAAGATGATGATGATGATGATGACGAAGGCGAAGGCGAGGAGGATACGGACGACGATGTTGTAACAGCCAGACTTGTTGCCGGTGACTGCGGTAACAGTGATGACGAAACTGCAGAGGATGATTATGATGACAATGACAACGATGGCGCCAACAATCGCAACCGCAACGATGATGACGAGGATGATTTCTTAACCACTACATACACCTGGAATTTGCGCAAAATACCCAAGCTACAGTTGAACGATGAAGAAAAACAATCTTCCGATGAAAGCAATTCAGTCAAGGATCAGATTGATATGGATGACACTGATGAGGAGAAACCAAATAAGAAAGCGCGTTGGTGCCATGCCGACTACGATGACTTGCAACAAGAAAAACATCGTAAGCAATGGGCTGCGGATGAGGTCGGAAAGGAGAAGAAAGTAAGTGTGTACGTGATAATGTGTGTGTTCGTATGTGGGAGTATGCGCTGAAGTATGGTGTGTGCTGAGTGTATTACGAGTGCTTTGATGAAGAAAATGACGTCGATGTTTTTAAGATTTAAGTTGGAAGATTTTTAATCCACCCATCAGTTCAGAATTTCTAAGTGAAATTTGGCGTGGAAGGCGTCTTTGTTTTCTATACCGCTAGATTTTTAAATCCTTTTTCTGAGTGTACATAGCCCAAGTTGTATACTACTAAAAAAAGAAAGAGCGAGAAATTTCATCTGCATTAGTATCATTCGCGTTTTTAGAAATTATTGAAAATTATAATTTTTTCGTAGAAGCTCGAATGGCATATTTAAAGCCAGTACCTTGACTAAGCAATTACTATTTGTGGAAGCTCTTATTTGGTACCACAACCATACTTTTTATCTGAGGATCATCTCCCAACGGCATAGCTATGCCACTATAGAGTTCGAACAGGTTTTTCATTACACTTTTTCCGTCATCTGCTGCTATGTCTAATATACTTCTGCACCTTAGAAAATACGGTTATGTTGAGAGATTTATAGACCTACATCTTTGTTCGTCGCGATAGGACCCTGCTGTAAGGCGAATTTAGCATCTGTTCGGAGTAATTGTTTCGGTTCTATCTTTAGCCTAACCCTTTCGAGGGCTAGAAATTCGCATACAAAAAGTGTCTTTTTTGAGCCCGCGTACACCACGAAGCTGCGGCAACACCTATTGAAGCTTAAGCCAATTCTGTAGGCCCTGTGCACATCGCCATAAGTTTGTTATATGTATGTTGGCTTAGCAGGTTTAAGTGGGTCGTAGGATACCCAGAACTGCTGGGTAATACTATCTACATAATTTTGTTCGGCTCTACCGTTTTCTAGCCTTCGAGAGATAAATTTCTCCCTGAGAGATGCATCGATGCCCGCCGCGTGGAACTTATTCAGTGTGGAGCCGCACCGCGCTAGTTGGTTTGCTGCCTCGTTTCCATAAATGTCCCTACGTCCCGGCACTCATAGTGGGGTAATTTCATATTGATCAGAAATCGAGGTCAGCTTTCCCATACAGTCATCCAATAGTTTAGATCTAACAGAGGTACAAAAGGCGCCTGATTAGACGCTTGGCTATCTGGGAAGATGCATTCTTGTGTGTGCATTCATTTTGATGTACCTCACTGCCTCCTGAATTGCAAACCTTTTTGCCTGGAAAATGCTTTTATAGTCTGGTAGGTCAAAGGATAGCTTTGGGTTATATTGGTCAATGAAAACTACTCCAACAAACCCGCACTACATCTTTGATCCATCCGTATAGATTGCTAAGCCTTCCAAGAATTGAACCTTTCCTTGAGTTCAGTCAGGTCTTCGAAAGGATATCGACAGTAGGCAGCGCTTTAATTTTAAGCGGGAGGATGGAATTATGCCCAAAAGTTCTTTCCTTGCAGAGCCCCAAGGCACGCAATCAGATGACTATTTTGGGTATTAAACCAAGCAGAACTTCCAAAACATCCCTGGGACAGCATCTGATTGTACCTGTTACTCGAGCGGCTGCTGACCTTTGAATTCACCTTAGTTTTTTTTTTTAGCTACGTAATCCTTAGTAAGGGCTGGCCACCAGATCTGCGCCCCATAAAAGAGTATGGGTCGGACTATAGCTGTGCACACCCATTGCACAAATCCTGGATTTGTTTTGATTCCTATGTCCTGTAATTTTATAACTTTGATATTCATATACATATTTCTAGTTCTCGGAGAAATTGGAGCGTTCCTGGCCCTGGGCTGATCGAGAGAAAATCATTTACAAGTATGTACCTTCGATAAATACATAATACATAAATTTAGAAATATGTACTTATATAAGAAAGCAAATACATAAATACATTTGTAATAACAAACAAGTACTAGGGCGGATCAAATTATTTCAGCTAGAATAACGCTCATGCATAAAATGGTTTTGGCCATTAATTTTAAGGTTTAGCCTTCAAATGGCATTATTTCTAGGCGCCACAAGTTCGCTCCGCCCTAATACTTGCATACATATACAAGGTAAAATTTTTATAACAGCATACGTATGTATATACATATGTACATATGTATATGTGTGTATACTTATTTCACTTTATAATCGCCTTCCCGCAAATCAATAAATTTGAACAAATGACAGCTTCACATCCTTGCACTCACTTTGCAGGCAATCAACTTGTCACCTGGTTCGTCGACGACCATTGGGTTTGGTGGAGCAGCGCATCAAATTATTGGCTAAACAGAATCTCAGTGGCAGCTTGGAAAAACAGCTGCATTGAAAATAAATTACTTATTGCCTTGCCGCACGCGTGACAGGAAGTTTATTGGCATTGTGGGTGCGAGACCAGCTGCCAAATGTATTGGAAATTAGTTTTGTCGACAGATTGATTTGTCCTCTTCTCCTGCCATTCGAACTGCCATTTATATTGAATTTTCAATTTATTAATAAATTTGTTATGATATCGTTAGTCAGCTATATTAGCGAACATTAAAAAATACCTTTTTGAATAAAATTGTTTTTGGGGCTTGTTTTATTTAACATTTAAGTTAAGTAAAGCGAATTGTCGTCAACAATTTCTTCGGTCAGAAAAAAATCGAAATCAATTTACATAAAATTTTGGTTTCACAAACATACAAAATTCGTTGGAAAAATGAGAACTATTTCATTCAACTGCTGGGGCAAACTTGATTGAGCGTAGCCAGTAGATTTTTTCGCGTTCTGTTGATACATTTAATGAACTCAATATTAGTGCTTGCCTCCAAGTAGTACACATGCATCGCGGATTCTTTATATAAATGCATACGATTGTTGATATCATAACAGATTAACTGTAAAACAATAGATCCCAGAAATATTGTAAAAGCAAATAATTCGTCCAGCAAAGTTACTTTCCAATGGCATACATTTAGGCGCTAAGATTGTTGTTAACCCTCCGAACTTACCTGGGGCATTGCGAGCGCGCTATTATTAACACTAAATGTGCAAGTTCTGCCGTTGCTTTCGCATTGCACCAATTTAATGGGAAAATGATAAAATAATTTTGCTTCGGTCTTGTACAGCTCATACACGTCAGTCGCTCTCAATTTGTTGCAAGTCGCAAGTATACCAGAAATTTGCTAAATTTTCTTGAGCGTCGCCACAGAATTGCGATTCCTGGTGGTATTTTTTAAATTTATTCTATCTTTTCGCAAATTTGCGGTTTATGTTTTTGGAGGCGCTTACAAAATTGATTATTACAAGAACACAGATTATAGCCACTTTTTGAAGGGAATAAGAATAATATATGTATGTATGTATAAATATTAAAAAACAGCAGTAAACAGAAAAACTTATCAATTTATGAAAGGTTTCCGAAACATGTGGACGAAGTAGATTTGGGTAAGGAAGAAAAAGTAAAAAAAAAAAATCCATTTTATTTATCTAAAGTTCTGTGAAAGTAATCGATTTTAGCACTTTTGACTTGTATTTGTTGGCAATTGGAAGTTTAAGTGTTAAATTAAGTGTTTTATTTAATTAATACTCAATTCAATTGACCTTTATATCGTGATATAGCACTAATTATTTGGACATTAATTAGGATTAATATCACTAGATAAAATTTTATTTGTATTCACCGGGGGCCCCTATATAATTCCTATGCAGAATCGCTCATTGATTCCGAAAATCGAGTTAGTTTGTTTTTTCTGTGGATAAGGTTTCGAAATATTTGCTATTTACCGTATGAAAGCTTAGAAAATTCTCCATAAACATTCTTTCCTGCTAATATTTCATACAAAAAAATTCTTCTTTCGTTTGAATACTCATTCCTTTTTTATTTATCCCAGCGATTTTTCTTTAGTAAGCAAGTCAAAAAAAATGCACAAAGAATTTGTTATTTTTTTACAAACTTTTATTATTTTAATTTTACTCAAAACCCGATGGCAATGCAAAGTGAAGTATGAATTAATACTCTAGGTGTTTTCTTCTTCGAAATAAGTATAAAAAGTCAAACTGTTTTTTGCTTTTCATTACAAAATTGATATCCGAGGCGATTTCATTTGAGTACTTACCCATTAAAACTTCATATTGTAAATGTATTAGAAATAAATAAAACTACAAAAAACATTTTTTTGAATTTTTTACACATTTATTGCCTTAATTAATTGCAATCCACACAACAGAAAGCAAACCACTTCAAATGATAGTCGATAATAAATTAAATTTTTCTTGTAAAAATATGCTTACAAAGTATAAAAATTCAGCAAATGCACTTAAAGCCAAATATTCATTAAGATATGTACATACATACATACATGTGCGTGCACATAAGACATTTGATGTCTAAAAGTAATATCTAAAATTCATTAAGCTTAAATCTCAAACATTAGAAACACAATACAAATTAGGCGATTTGTTTTCTTATCTTAATTTAGTCACATAAAAGTAAGTATGTAGTATTTGTTTTAACAGTTTTTGGCTTTATAAATGCATAACTTTACAATAAAATAAACTATTTATTCACTAAAAGGAGCATTCAAAACAAAATTTCAACACAAAAGTAATGATTCTGAATTTTTAGTTCTAATTTTTAAAATTTGCATACACACAACACTTACGGACAGACATACATTTTCATATGAATATTATTTATACGGTATTGGATTTAGTTTTTTGCTTGTTTTGTTGATTGAAACTCAAGTGTATTCTTATTTGTTCACATTTTCTCGTATTTTTTTGTTTTTGCTAGTTAATTTTTTTGTCCCTTTTGCCCAATTTTGTTCGAATTTTAATAGAAGGCGCTCCATTTCATTCTACAGTTATACATATCTCTCTCTCACTATTTTAAAATTTGCACCTTAATTAGTTTCCTCTTTCTCTCTCTCTCTCTTTCTTATACGAATATGTATGTGTGTGCCCAGTTCGTATTTTTTGGCACAACTTTTCGCAGCTAAGATTGTAGCCTTACATTACGCAGTTTGCTCATCAAGTTGCATTGGTTTCTTAAGCATTCGATGAATATTGATTGAGCAAAGCATTGGCTGAGTATTGGAGTTGGTGAGGTGGATGGGTGGTTGAAAGATGGCATCCTATGGTTTTCTAAATGTCTTAATATCTTTAACAAATTGATAATAATTTAAGTAAAAAACACAGAACTAGATTTTTACTTTGTGGACTTAATAGCTAACGAAATTGATGTACTTACATAGACATGCAGTAAAAAACATACAAGTATGTATGCATCTACCATATTTTAGGACTCGTTGTACAGATAAACCTTTCTTAAAAATAGATGGTTTTTCTTAAAAATAATTCCAATCATTAAAAAAAAATTTAGAAGAATTTATATTGTGTTTACAATTGATCGTACCATCTTACAAGCAAATAAAAAATCTAAAAATATTTTAACAAGGCAATATTTTTTTTTTTTAAATAGTTCTACTGCAATAATCAAAATACTTTCTTAGCAAAAATTTAATCATTTTTGGAGAGCTTTAATTTATTTACATTAGTGTGGTATGAACAGTGATATGGTGGGTAAGTACTAGAACCAAGTGTTTGAGGTCGAAAAACTTTGGAAAAGAATAGTTCTCTCAACGGGACAAGAACATTGATATTTATCTTATCTTAATATCCGTCTGTAGATATGACGTAAAATTATAAAAGGCGACTCCAACTTTACTTATTTGATGAGCATAACAGGTATGAAACAATGCTAACAAACTTTTATACATATATGCTTCACAACCCGAATTCACTTAAGATGATTGTTACGTAAGTTGTTATTTGTGAATTAAAAAAAATAAATAAATAAATACATATACGCTTCTAAAGTTGATATAAAGAATGCGAAATTTTTGTGAAATTAAATTGTGACGATACGAAAATCTTAATTTCTTTCGTAGTGAGGTTAGTACAAACGAAATGCCAAGGCCCCATTTAGTACTGAATATTTTGCCAAAAACAAATTTGAAAACTCTTTTTGTATTCAACATAGAAATATATGTATATATATATGTACATTAGGGTGCATCACCTCACAAAATTATAGTTTTTCCACCGGAATTATAAATATTTTTATATTTTAACATTTCTGTCAAAATATTTCGGGAAAATATTAAGATTTATATAACTAAAAGATGCTCATTACCAATTTTGATTCCGTAAAAACAGTTTTACATTTTTTTATCTAAATCTTTACTTTAAGCTTAAACTCTATTGTCATCTAAGGTGATTGTTTAGGAAAAACTATTTTTAAAAACTTATTAAGAAAAATTCCATTTTCGGAGGTAATTTTAAATAGGTCTAGCTCACCCTAATATGAATATTTTTCCGAAATATTTTGCCGAAAATCTTAAAATATAGTAGATTTGAATGGAGAGTGATGCATCCTAACGTGTACATACATTTATGTTTCTTAGTGCGGTTTGAATTCAGATAAACTGTTTATATGCAAGCTGTTTTACGTATACTGTACAATCCCCAATCTAATATTTTGTGCAGTTTGAACACTTTGAGTTAGATTTGGTAAGCTAATTGGAAGAGCATTTCTCAGAGCGGTGAAATCGAGACTCTCCTGCAGGAAAGTTTTACGATTGTTGCTTGAATTCTCTCAGCACTAAAACTGAAAAAACTATTTGTATTATTTCGAAAACCAATGCATACACAACTCTTTCCGAAAAGTATTGATTTTAAAGGGAACAAAATTTAATGTCGATCAATTAAAAATTACACAAGGGCATTGTTTACGCGGAAAAAAAATTTTTTTTTAGTAAATCTGGCTGTGAGATCTTCAGTTGCAGGGTTTTTTTTTCTAGCGATGTTAAGAAAATTACATTCAATAAATGCAAAAGTTCCTAAACTGGCTAGTTCTTACACTACATAGAAGGAAGATTCTTTAAGTAGCCGAGTTTTCATAGATACATAGATGGAACAAGAACAAGTAAGGCTACATTTGTTTTCGAAATTTCAAAATTTTAGACTTGTTATACATATAATTTAATATCGAGAAAACTATTTTCTTCATTAAGTTTTGTGCCAGAAAGTATTATTTTCATATTCAAAATATAAAAAACCTAAATATTATTTCTAAAACAAATTTCCAGATTTAAGCGAGGTGAAATAACGCTAAATATAAACTCACAAAAGTTGATGGTGTCATCTTACAGATAACTTGAGTACTTAAAAAAATTGTTATAAATATTCAATCAGGAAATGTTTCTTAAATCTTAGTATATTGCACGATATTTTTTTCCTGCATAAATCCTAAACTAAAATTTAATTAGAATATCCGCCAGATTCATAATCTGCATTTAGACGTCATCGTTGCGCATCATCATTACCACACTGACACTCAAATTATTCCAATTGCAAATTATGTATGTACATATATCAGATATTCATCACACATCATTAATCAACATTTTTTATTACCTTATCTTAATGCTAAGAGGATGTGTAGAAATGCGTTATAAACTGGCTATAAGCAAAAATATCGCACATGCAGCAATAAATCACGCGTGCGCTACAATTACTTACTAATTTCACTTCCTTCCATTAAATACACCACATCATATGATTACTCCAGCCACCTTCAACCACCTGCCACCTCGCACTCTTTTGCTTTTCCGCATTTTTCGTGCCACAAAAATTATTTTGCTGACTCCTGCTTACAATGCCTCCTCCGCCATTTTGTTGCCATCCAAATGCAGATTGTTGTTGTGCACAGCTGTAGTGGTAACGAGCAAAGTGCCACCAGCCACGCGATTGCTGCTATCAGCGCTGCTACCATCGAGGCTATAGCTGCCACTGCTGCTGTTTCTATTATTGCTGCTGTTATTGTAATTACTCGTTGTTGTTGTTGTTGTTGTCGCTGAAGCTGCAGCTGCAGTTGCTGTGGCTGCTGCAAGTGTGACTGTTGTTATTGCAGCTGCTGCCGCTGTTGTCGTCGCCGCAGAAACTACTTTTCCAGTTGCATATTTTCCATGACTATTACAGTTACTCGCACTGCTGTCAAATTCATTCACTGCGCCACTGCCAAAACCGCCATCGCCACCACCACCACGACCACTAATACTTTCTGTGACAGTTCCCTCTTCCATTAGCGGCTGTCGTACGCGCAGCTGATCGATGGTCTTTCGCCGCAGCAATTGCAACTTACGCAGTCCGCTTATGACTCCGCTGGGCGCTGACGCCATGGCTTGCGTTTTTTGGGTGCCGTGTGCGGTGCTGTTGCTGCGCAAACGAGTGGCGGATCGACTGCTGCCGCCGGCGCCGGAATATGAGTCACTGCTGCGGCCAGTGACAGCGCTGGAGGCGCGCCGCGCTTTCATCGATGACATGTCCTTTAGTCATACCTTCTCTTCGCCGGGCAGGGGCGGGCCGCATCGCACGAACTATAATCAGAAGAACTGTGGTTTGAAATAATTGCGTGTTGGTTTAGGGATTGTGGTTGCATTTTACATTTATATTGTATATTTAATTGTTTAATTGGTGGATTTCGTTTGGTTTGGTTTGGTTTGGTTTGGTTGTTGGTTACATTACGATGTGCGAGTACATATATATACATATGTACAAAAGATATGTGGAAAGAAAAGAAAAGAAAAGAAACGAAGCACATTGGAAAGTGGATAGCCATGGTGAATTTGTATGTACTTTATATTCTAGTTCAATTGTTAATTGACTGATTGGCAGTTAAGATTGGAGAATACAAGGATTGTAGGCAACATGAAAATAGAACTAAACGAAGAGATAATGATTAAAAATTTCCCATGCATTTAATTACCAAAAGTATACAATTACCTGAACATGCAAAATACATATGGCTACGTATGTATGTACATTATGGTGGTCCAAAATAAAGTAAAGTCGTAATTTTAATGTTCTCACCGCCGAGGATAGTTTTATACCGAAAAATATACACATATTTTTTATTTTGAATTGAACAAAATACTTAGAGGTCGCTCAAAGCTATCAAGGTTTCCGTGTTTATTTAAAAAAATTTTAATACTAACGGTTTTTTTTATCACGCCATTGTGTTTTCTGGAGTTTCTGGTGTGCTATAAATTAAAGTTAATGTGAAGAAATCGTTAAATAATCCATTGGGTATTAATACTGGGAATTTTCTGAAGAGAAACAGAGTTTTCTAATCGAAAATTATTGATTTTCAAGAATTCTATACCATTTCTACGAAAAGTTGTTTTATCCCCATATAAAGCTTAGAATCCAGCTATCAAGAAAAATCACAAGAAATATTTTTCGTTATTTCTGTTGCTTGGAAAAAAACACGTCGCTTTTGCTATAAATTTTCTTTGAAGAAATGTATATGCGAGCGTTTTTTTCTTGAGAGCTGCAAACAGCCCTTGAAATACATAGAAAATTTCGAGCGCTTTTAGCGACCTCTAAATACTTTTTGATTTCAAAATAAAAATAGGGATATATTGTTTCACTATATCGTAGTGGGTGAGAGCATACAAATTCCGACTTTACTTTTTCCTCCAGCATTTTTCGGGTCACCCTAATGTACATATGTATAAATTATATTGCGCACTGGATTTATTGAAGTTCCCGCAGCACCATTATCGACGTGTTTGAGGTTAACTTTTATCGATAGATTTGTAGAAATTCTAAGTGACGAAGAGGGTACGATTCTAACTGCGCATATAAAACGAACCGTACGGGATCTGAACTGGGTGTTTAGTGACATAAAAGGGGAGCAGTCTCCGATTTGACAGACATGAACATCCAATTGCATATAATCATTACCTTAACTTTTTAAAGGGACCTTCAAATATAGAAGGTTTTAAGTTTTTTAAAAAGTGTTAAATGCATATTTTGTGTCAAGGAATCCATTTCCATAGTTAAAAACAAATCAAAAAAAAAATGCATTTCAAAGTTCATCATACGCTGTTTTTTTTTTGGTCAAAAACGGAAAATATTTAAACATTTTATTGTTGAAGGTCGGTTTTGAGGTTAAGGTCATTTTTTGTTCAATAAGATCATTAAAATGTTCTTCAAAAGTAGATTTTTTAATTTTTTATGTTTTTTTTTTCTAAAAAAAGCTTGACTCAAAAGTTCAGTGAGCTCAGTTTCGTGTCTTCTAGGAATACATGGGGTGAATAGGTTCTCAAAATTTAGATTCGGGGTGGTGTAGTTTGGTGACCTAAGCAGGTAGAGTTTGATAGAACACTGGTATGACCGGATCTAGCGCTTCTCAAATATTTATAAGGCATGTAGTCTTCTAACATTCCTGCCGCCTGAGATAACGAAAAGGGCATACGGAACGTAAATTAGCAAAGGTTTGTGTAGGGCTTTTGTAGGCGAGATGGGTAGCGCTCTCGTGAATGGAATACATACGCATGATGTATGTACTTTAAACTTTGGTGAGTGCGCGGCTTACCCAGTGATGTCCACCAAACTGTGGCGCTATAGAATAACTTAGGACGGACAACTGCTATCTACAACGAGTGCACTCTAATGAGGCTTGATACCTAATTTCTTACAGAACCAAGGCAAACACTTTCTTCTAAAGAGTTAGTTTACTCATAACAATGTATTAAAACGTTTTAAGAGCCTATTAAATTAAGAAATGTCTATGTTTGTCTATGTTTAGATTAGGATGCGTGAATCCAGTCTTTATTAAATCAAAAACTACGACTCATGTCGTAATTGATTCTCTTACAAGTTGAGGATTACGTAACTCCTTTGCTGGCGCAATTAATACGACGTGTTATGTTGTACTTACTTTTATTTGTTATCATGCGACATGCATAAATCTAAGGGTATACATTAGGGCGGTTCAGAAAAACATTTGTTATTTTCAGAAGGGAGTAGGGTATCCTTTGGGTTTAAAAAGGTGGGTTACTTTTTTTGCCAAGGAAAGGTTAAGGCAAAAGGAATTTTTCAATTGGGGTATTCAGAACGATGTCGTAAGTGTCGTATTATTGAAGTTCGTAAACTTTAAACGGCTAAATGTGTATCAGGCGGGTTCGCAAGGTACCATAAAAAAAATATTACGAATTTTCGCAGTGTTAAAAAATAGTTTGTAGTGGTTTAAAGTCCTCTAAACATTTATTTAAGCCTTTAGAGCTTACGACATATTACGGCACCGTTGTGAATACCCCAAATCTTTTTAAATACAAAATATAAAATTAATAAATGCTAGTATGAATAAATATATGGATTTTTTATTTTCGAAACAAAAAAGAAACACACCTCATAAACACATCAATATTGAGTTATAATAAACATAAAATAATGAAACATTTTTAGCAGACAGTTACAAAAACAAGTACAAAGGCTTATTTACAAATGATTTGTACACAACACGATATATATGTATGTAGTATGTATGCATTATTGTTAAACCGATTACAATAAGAGTAGGCGAAAAGACATACAAAGCCAACAAAATCTTACCGAGACCTGAGTGGCTGTGTAGGAATTTGCACGAGCCCTATTACTAAAGCAAACCATACGCCATTTGCGCTTCACTTGGGCAATAACTTCACCATTGAAGAAGCAGAAGAATGTGGCGACACAGAGGCCCTGCAAGAAATTAAAAAAAGAGAAAATATGTGCAAATTAAGTTAATTGATAGATATTAATTAGGAAAATAAATATTTTATTTAGGTAAATCAGGTTAAAAATCAAGTAAAGCAAAACTCATATTGTTTAGTCTATCTGTGCAAAATACCAGTAAAAAAGTTCGCCGTACACCACTGAGTCCACATAAATTATTTTAGCAATGCAATTTCAAATGGTCAGCAACGCTCCTGCTCTGAAAGTATTCAACGCGGGTCGCGATGCTTCTCTGGGTTAGAAAAACCAGCTGGAGGAGGACTTGGCTTTACTTGGCATTTCCAATTGGCCTCTATTGGCATAGGAAAGAAACGACTGGCGTGCTGTTTTGGACTCGGCTAAAATCGCAACAAATTTTTTTAGCCGAACGTAGAAGTCGCCTTTTTATATCTTTCGACATATCTTCGGGATTTATAGTCGGATATTAAATAAGGATTCATCGATAAAATTTTCTAATTCCAAAGCTCATTGATCTCAGGTACACCGCTTTGTTCACCCACCAGATCTCAGTTCTTATCACCCTAACGTACCACCCTAATGTCAGTTAATTAAAGCTCTCCAAAAATCATTAAACTTTCGCTAAGGTGATATTGGGTATCCCAGTAGAGCTATAAAAAAAAAAAAAATTATTAACCTCTGAAAAGAGTTTAACTAACAATTTTGATATTCACAATGTTCAGCTAACAAATGTTTAGACCAGCATGCCCCCATAGTTAAACTCTTGTGAAATAAATTTTTTTTTGTGGAACGATTTTCAGATTTTTATAGAGAAGTGCTGATTTTTAGAATTAGTATATTTCCAAGCGATATGAATTTCCATAGTTAACTATGTGACTCTCAATATAAATTCATAGTATACGTTTTGTGCGTGGTTAAGTTAACAATGGCTTAACTAAGTACTGTGAAACCGGCCCTTAGGGGTAAACGGCGAACTTTTTTTCCTTGCTTGTTGCGATCTAGTGCAAATTGTAAGTTTAAACGCTTAGAACTCGTTTATAAACTTTATAATTGTTAGCCTCCTTATTAAAAACTTATTTTGAGTTAGTGCGAAGTTCTTCCTTGAAGTTACGTACAGTTGTAAGTAAACGAATATTTGTGTGTGTAAATATGTAAGTTGAATGCAATTTTCGAGTAAGCCAAAAACTTTTTGAATCATCAAAAATATTTAAGTCAGTCAAAGTAATCCACACACATCATTAATTTCCATGCGTATACATTGAGCACTTTTTTTTTTACTTTTCTAACTGCGCTTTCGCAACATTTTAAGCATTGGCCTTGTCGTACACATACACACATAGTGCATACATACACATATGCATATATTTACATTTTAAGCACTTGTAAATATGTGCATAAAATATATTCTAAATGCGTTTATTTAGCATTTTCAATAGCGTAAACAGTTTGTGAGCTTAAGAGCGAAAGAAGACTTCAATTCGACTGCGATTGCTGAAGAAAAGGGAATGCACTTGACCCAGTTCGGCAATAAGGGAGATATGGGGATAAAAAAATGTAAAAAATAAATAGTCGAAAAATCTACATAGAGTACCACATAGTAGTAGTATAGTAGTTACATATCGTTAAAAACGAAAAACATTGAATAAAATACACAGCTCATTCTTAGATATTTCACTTATGCAAGAAAGCTTGTTGGTGCTCGCTTACTTACACCCACACAAACATACATAGTTGTTGGAAAGTAAAAGAGTTTCCAAACGTTGCCAATATGTATGTAATTATGAATTCATCAGAATTTAAGTTAAAAATTTTCAAGTTTTGAGCAATTTGATAGCTGCTCAAGGTTTTCGTGTTTTTTGATGCTGCGCCATCAACCAGTTAAATTTGAAAAATTGCGCGAAAATAGCGTTAGATTTTATTACAAAAAAAAAAAAAAATTGCGTAAACCTTGAAGTAAATGCACCGTCGCCATCGCTATTTCGTTGGCTTCAGAAATAGAAACACATCGCCTCAGCATGGGAAATGCAACTTGAAAGTCGAAAGTTTGTCTACCTTGCACGAAAAAACAAAGAGAAAAGAATAATAAAATGGTAAAGCTGCACTAAAACTAATGCGTTTTAAGTTTATTATTTTTTTTACTTTTCTTGTCTCAAAAGAAATTTCGCTTTGTCACAGTGATGTTCATTGCCGTAGTTAAATGACTGTAAACTTTAGCTTTTCGCAGATACGCTTAGAAAACAGTTTATTTGTGAAGGAGATTACAGAAAATGTTTTAAAAGATTTGAAAGTAGTACTGCGATATATTTACTCTGCTCTGCTATTGTTGAAGATTTTGATATAATTTTTCTCTTAAATTTTATTTGTTTACACTAAAGTCGCTTTGATAGTATGGTTAGAAGAGAGTGACTACCACCGCGCAGAGCAGTGATGCACACGTAAGCTGAAAAGCGCATTTGGATACCACTAGCGGGAGCCATTGTTTCCTTCCCTCCGTTAATAGTTGAACCACCGAGTGCGTTTTGTATAGCACAGAAAGTTGAGAATGCTCGTCGAGTTCAGGTCGGCTAACCAATCTAAAAACTACCTATTTAAGAAGAGGTTGTGCGATGTGCGCTAGTGCGGGACAGTGACACAGATAATGTTCAATGCTTTCCATCTTTTCCTCTATGCTGCTGAAGCAAAAGTCGTTGATTGGATAACCCAGAACGGGAAATTCTACTTTCATATAACATCACATATGTGAGCTCGATTTTACCCCCAAATACCTAAGACGATTAACTCTTTCCAAACGCGAGCACCTTTCGTTGCGAAACGTGGAGAAAAAGCGTCGATCGAGACTCGAAGCAATTCGGGTTAAGCCTGAAGAAGTTCAAAACGATTGCCAGAAACAGAACCAGGTGGTACGCAAGCGTAGTAGATGCCCTATGGGATTAAAGGAAACGAAATAGAATAAGTCCCTTGTTCTGATACAGTTACCAACTAATAAACCTTCCTCCAGTTTTGGATTTTTGAAAAGATGGCGTTGAGTGTTGCTGAAAGTTTGTTTGCCCAATTAAATGGTTGGCATGACCAAAAAATAGCTGTTGGCGCTTTTTAAGTGATGCAATATACATACATATACACATATGGACGGCTGAGGGGAAGATCACCCTATCTCGGATGTGTTTTCGAATTTTGTGAATTTTCGCTTTAAACTACAACTTAAAAGCCTTGCAACACATATTTTCTGTTAAATAATTAAAATCAAAGCGTTTTTGTCATTACTTAAATTGACTTAAGTGGAATAAGATTTTTTTTTTTACTTTTACAATTTATATTGCTTGTGCTTTTCCTCCCAAGGATCCTTTTATTTCGTTAGTAGCTTAATGACACATTCATATATGTACAATATGTTGGGTGCAACAATAAAACACAATGCACATTAAAGATGTTGGCGCGCGTCATTTATTACTATGGTTACATTTTAATAAGGGAATAAATTGTAAACAATTTGTCCTTTATGTACACGAAGTGCAAGACTATAGAAATGCTGTACGTTTGTATTAGGGTGATTGACTTAATTTTTCCGGATCGGGTTTAGCCGCTTTTTTCGAACGGCGAATAAACCGAAGTTTTGGGTTTTCATCTAGAATATTTTTGCGACTGCATTTTAAAATCGTCTATAAATTAATTAAATTTTTTATTTTATTTTTTTATCAGTTTTTTCTGTCAATTTTCATATTAACTTATAATAAAAAATAATTGTTCACTTAATTGCTTTCGTGAAACTGGCTATTAGTGCTTTTGATTGAGCATTTTCAAAAAAAAATTTAAAAAGCTACTCAAAATGCATACAGCTTAAAGTAGTTTTTCATAAAAACACATTTTCTGAGGCACTTTAGCTAAACTAATTTATTTATATTTATTCTTCTACATCTGATTCCAGAAGGCTAAGGAAAAAACCAGTTGATCCCAAAAATTTCACTATTTTTTTATTATTAATCCAAATAACTTTCAACTTGTTCCATTTAACTATATTTTAAATGAAAGCCACACCTACTTTTATTAGCTTTGCTCCATTTTTGGATATCATTTCTAACTAACTGTAAGCATTATTCAAACGCGGAGTATCAAAGAATTAAATTATTATTTTTTTTTTAATTATATTTTTTTCGAATAACTCGAAACCTGGTTTTGGAAAAATGTCGGATAATCGCGCACCCTAGGCATGAAAGAAAATAATATTGTATATAATGAAGGGACGTGTGTGGAATTGTGTTGAGCATTATGGAGACGTATATAAGTAGGTATGCATGCACTATGACCTTTTTTATGCGTTCATACATTCATATGTATATAAGTATGTACTATATACATATGTATTATCTACATACATACATATCGAGCCCTAACCGCCAAAATAACGTAAGCGACATTTTTTTCAAAATTTTCTTTTTGATAAAGAAATATTCCTAGAGCATCTGGATGCATAAGAGTAAAAAGTTGCAAAGTTCAGTCAGGAAAGAATAAAAACCTTTAAAACTCATTTTGCTCAAGCACTTGTTTTGTAAAAATTGTCAAAAAATTTTTCGCGAAATCTAAGCTAAACCAATTCTAAACGAATCGAATTTCACAAAGTTTTTGTAGATATTCTTTGGGACTTATCGCATTGTCTGTGATATAACTGAATATAAATGGCTAGGAATAAAATAGGTAATTCGTTATTTTTGAAAAAACGATAAATTTTTAATTGCTCTGGCTTCTTGTAACAAAATATATAATTTTGGACTTAGCTACTTTTCACTTTAAGCACCTGTATACACACCTAACAACATACATACATTCTAAAAAAGTGCATGTAAAACTAAGTTCTACTGAAAAATGTTTATTTTTCAACCAGAAAATGTGCAAATATACGCACGAGATGTTCAAGATTTGAATTTGAACATGAGTTGTTTAAAATATACACATAAATATACAAGTAAAATGTTTAAAAGTACAAAGATTTTGAAAGAAAAAATATATTTTTTACAAATAAGAAATATTAAACGCTCATATTTATTCAATTTTAAACACTTTCTGTGTAATTTTTCGCTACGGGACAAATTTAGTATGTAAAAGTAAACAGACAATGCTTAATTTTGCACACATTAGTAGTGGAAACTGGTTACCACTCTTTATATGCCTAAATTTGAACAAACATTTTTTAGAGAAAATTTTAAACATTTTATGTGTAAACTGTGAAATTGTGAACAATAAATGTTTAGAGCTCAAAAAACAAATTTGAAATTTGTTATACGCCACACATATGATAAGTAAAACTAAACAAGCAGTGCTTAATTTAATTGACACAGTGTATAAATTTGCATTCATTAAATGAGGAAACAAACATTTTTTAGAGTGTATGAATGCATGTGGGTACTGGAAATATAATAAACACGTAGCGACTATGCATGCCTGTTTATTTATATATATGCACATACAAACAGATTTTCATCTAATATACATATGTATCTGCTAAAATATACTGCATACGCACACTCTGCACTCGGTGCGCTTTTAGCTTTGTTTTTGTGCACTTTTATTTTTTGTCATATCGTAGCAGCATCCAGCAGCAGCAAGTGCACATAAGTACTTAAATATAAACAGCTAGATACTTGCGATTATTGTTCTCGCTTTTATAGTTGCTATCATTTATCTTGCTTTAAGCATCAGCCAAGTTGGCTATCCTTTGTGCTGTCGTTGCGAATGCTTGTTATCATAATTATTTGCCACATTGAACATGAGACAGTGCACATTTTGCTTCATTTTTCACTTTTTTTTTTTTGTCAAAGAAATACTAGAATGATTACGTGATGTGTTTTCTTCAATTTGCTTTTAACTTTAAGTATAAACTGGAATATCTGGTCAAGCTTGCTCGCATTGCTGGATTATTTTTCTTTTCATTTTTCTTCATATCCATCAAATAAAGCGGCGTAGATACACTATTTATTAAAATTACTTTACTCAATCTGTTTATAAATAGCCACAAGTTCGGATCACTGAAATAACAAAACCACTTTTCATTGCTTTTACCTTTATTTTCGAAGAAAAAGATTTTTTTCTTTTCTTAACTTTTCCTTTCATTGACCTTTTTCGTGCAGCTGTGCTTTGTTATTTTCTTTGCATAAACATTTAATAACTTTTTTCATATCGCTCGCTTCGAGGCATCAAAAGCACAATTGCTGCTTATTCATATTTCTAATATTAATTTTTTTTTTATAACTCACAATTCAACGAAAGGTCGCAAGAGAGTAGTCATAAAAGAGAAATGGAAATGAAATCAGTGAAATTTATTTTTTCTGCAGAGAAAAATTAAGTGTGCGACAATAAACGCTGTCTCAAAAGGTGTCGTCGGCCATGAATTTCAAGTGTTTCTGAAATATTTGTCAGGCACAAAAAGTTCGTTATTATCAACATTTGAAAACCATACAACGCGCTTTGATATTTCTGCTACGACATAAGAGAGGTGTTTTAATTACAATTAAATTTAGGATTCTCTACAAAAAATCGTTTAAATTGTACCATAAGCAGAAGAGTGGGAAAGAGTAGATATGAATTACAATTAAATATGAGAATTTTGTTAGTACGAGAAGAGGCTGAAAAGGTATGAGCCTAAGGTATTAAAATAGCTGAAATAAATGAATATACAAATGCTATTTTTTAGAAACAGCTCGTACAATGCGCGAATGACTCGCACATGGTGATATTTATGGCTCAATTGAAAGTGAAAGCTTAATGACGTTAATTAAATGAAATTCGGTATTTATACTACTAAGGATATACTTAGGCTTAAAACTTGTCAGGCTTCCCTCGTAGTACCGTGCTATTTTATCAAACAGCTTTACATCTTGCACCTTCGTTAAATTGATGAATTTTATTAAACTTTTTGGGTAGGTTAATACTAGGGTGATTGGCTTGGTTTTTCAAAAACCGCTTCCAACAGTTTTCTTGGAAATCTAAAGGCGATTTTTTTGAATTATTGATTTTTCGAATATCAAATAAACCGGAATTTTCGCTATAACAAACCGATTTTTTTCATTGAATAAAAAATCAGAAAAAATGCAATAAAGTATTAAAGAAATACCAAACGTGAATTTTTCACTGATTATTATTATTTTTTTTTTTTTGATATAAAAAACTGTACCTATTTTGCTTTGCTCGTTTCTAGCTATATTTACTGTTAATAATTTTATTGTATAAGTATTATTGTATTGGTCATGACTTCATACCAAGATAATCATTTTCACTGGTTAAAATATATAATAAAACCGGTTTATCAGACATTTGTCTGATTTCACACTGCCCGTTTTTAAATATTTGCCTCCAAAATTTTGTATGAGACAGCCAAGAGCCAGAAATCAGATGGATCAATTGCATGAAATGTCATCTCTCTTCATTGGCAAGGTGCATTTTTAAGCTGTTTCTATTTAAAATTATTTTATTATCGAAGGATTTTGGAGTAGTTAGCAAAAAGGAAACTGCGGCGACCGAATAATGCATCATGTCTATCTATTTATGATATTTGAAAGAAATTTGTATTGTAACGGTTTTATTGCAATTTCGAGAAAATATGTATTTTCCCTTTTTAAAATTCATGGAAAACTTCAAAGTAGAATTTTTGGTCTACAATTTTTTTTTTGATAAAAAAAAAATCGGAAAAAATTACTATATATATTACTTATGATCAAAATCTATTTGTAGTATTCTTTAAAATTTTTTTTTGTTAAAAGTTCTAGATAAAAAAAAATTATTTAGCGATGGAGAGCCACCAAAATTTACCTCGAAAAATTCATCGTATCATAATACGTGTTTCAACTGCATTCCGGTGTAGGCGGCGTTATTCCAGCCTCCCGCGCGACTAAGTTTAGTGTTTTTTTCCCTATCGTCAACACCGAATAAAAATATGCAAACATAATCCGTTGCTAAGTATTTTTTTTAATTACAATTTTTCTTTCCATTTTATAGTAACGAGCACTGAGATTTTTTTCAAAATTTTTCAACGCTTTACATACAACCAAAAATTGCAGGCAATGTTAAAGTAGTAATTTAGGCTTTGTTTTAGGAGAAGCTTTTCAAGGCATAAACACACTCGGAGGGTTGCCATTGCCTGTCGAGGGGCTGCCGCTGGTAGAAAAAACTTTTCCTAGTTTAAATCTTCTTCAGATCAGGGATCGAACCGAGGTCCTGCAGAGTGTTATTACGCACCTGTAACCCCTCAGCTGCAGCGTCCATCGAATGATACTGCGTTTTATTTTCGTAAAAAAATTTCTGCAGAAAGTTTTGCCTTCTCGTTACCCCCTTCTTACCGTTTGTGCGAAGCGGGCAATTTTTTCTGCAGAAAATTTCGGCCCATTTTTGACAATTACTCAAATGGTGCCTGTTATTGCAGCAACAAGACTTCAAATCACCACCTTAAAAACTTTGTGGAGACTACATTACGCTAGTAGCTTACGAATGCTGAAATTTTATGTTTAATTACTGACGAAAGGAGTGTGTTCATTGTCAACATTTCACTCTCATGATATTCACTTAAAGGATGAGTATCTATGTGCACTCATGTTCAAAAAGTAAACATCTCAATTTTAATACAGTAATCAAAACTGAATGTATACAAACAGTGGAAAAGAAAGTAAACGAGTTGTTTGTCAACACATCTATTTATGTATGTGTATTAGTAAGTAGAAAGGAAGGAAAAAAGTGACAAATCGTGAAACTCAGTTGAGTACACTGTCAAGTGATTGGTAGTTGGAAGTTGCCATAGTTTTTGTTACTTATACGCAGTGGTGCACTATGCCAGCACTTATTTTTATTTTGAGTAAAAGCGTCACGAAAAATCGACCCTATTTTATAGCGGAACGTGATGCCGAATAAAAGCCCAAATAATTAATAAAAAAATTGATTTGTATTGTTTAGTACCCCCTCGAATTTAATTTTTAGTTAAATGGAAGTTAATATCTCCACCCATTATTTGGTTAGCTTACTTTTCAATGGAAAGTTTACGGAATTCATACGGCCCACAGGCAACGTTTAATAAGTAATTTGAAGTACTATTTTTTAATCTTGCAATCAAGACTGGCATTAAATTAATATGCATAATTATTTGTGTGGGCAATATTCAGCATAGGAAATGTATTGCTAGTCAAAATGCCTGCCAGAGTGGCAGGGTGTCTGTTTTAAATAAACGCATGCCAGTCGATTAAATTTTACTTGCATAGGAGCTTCAAATCAAATCAAATGCAACTGTCTGCGTACACAGCACTTAATATTAAAAGCATTCCATTTCTGTTATTGACAGCTGTCTTTAGTCTTTCTATTGCTGCTGACTTATTTCGTATCCAAGCTCGTACATACGCAAAACAAATATTACACATGTTTTTGCCTGTGATTGTATTGCAAGTGCTCTGGTTGTGTCTTTTAAGTAATTGCTGATAATTGGAACCAGGCGACAGACAGAGGAGACACACGAGCTGCAAGGCAAATCAAGTGAAGACAACATAAAACCATAAATTGCTTGCAAACGTAAATACACACAGATATACATATGTACTTATACATTCATGCATATATGTATGTATGCATGTATGTGCCTGTACATGGCGGAGCTTGCTGAAAACGATTTTTCATTTGTTCACTTCATTTAAGTAAGATTGACTTAATCTTGCAGTGGATGGCATGCAATCTGATTGAATTCTAGGAGTGCTATTGTCTACTGCTTTGTTGTTTCCATTAAGAAAACCAACTGGTAATCGAATGCAGTACTCACCTGAAATGATGCGGTAAATGCTGAAATAACTTCGTAAGTATGCTCCCATGGGTGATTGGGTTCCGGTCGGAATGGTGTTAAAATATACTGTAGTCCCAGAAGTGGTACGAGCAAAAGTGTGGCGCTGTAAAGAAGTGAAAATTTAATTTGGTGGATTAATAAAGAAGGGAATAAAGACATGCGTCAAAAGTGTTGGAGAAATTATTTATCTCATATATATTTATGCCTAAAAGTTGATACTTTGATGAACATTTTTTTTAGTTTTTGAATTTTTTTTTAAATTTTCTAGAAAGTTTGAGATATCAACCTACATGGTTTTTGTTTTATAAAAAATTTAGATTAAGGAAAGAAAAAATTTTCAAAGCTTGTCGATACATTTTACTAATATTTTTGTCAACACAACTGTATAACTAATGGCATCGTAATGCGCTGTTGTTTGGTTGCTACATTTTTTAATAAACGAAAAAGGCGCTTAAATATGAGCTGATTTTTATGGCTTCGTACTGATTTTTCATCCCCCACTTTACTGATTATGTCACTAAAATATTTGGCTACCCTACTCGGGAGTACACCGTCACTGGATTTGTTACCGGAGAAGATGCGATACAGATTTAATTTACTGTATCGTACATATCAATTACCATCACAGATTTAATCCACAAAACTTACCGAAATGCTTGCAGGACGGTGCGTGAAGGCCCACAGCTATTTTGTATGCTGGCTGGTGCCTTCAACTTCAGCAGCACAACGCGCACAATATTGCATAGAAATAGCAAATTAAGGAACATGGAAATGCAAACAGGTACGACGAATATATAGTCGAAATGCGTCGAATTCATCCAGCAACTGAAAGATGTAGAAAAGGCAAAGTTATAGCAATTTGTAACATTGGCGAAAATGGTCAACAAAAGAAATTAAATTTTCACGTTTGTACAATACAATTGTATGTAAAATAAATAACAAAGAATTTATATACGTACATACGTACATACATACATGTAAATGGAAAAATAATTACTTTAATTTCCTTTTCTTTTGTATTCAATACATATAATTATTTTTGTAAATAAATTCATTGTACAGAGCATACTTACTGTGTTATTTCATCGCCTGTACCGCCGAGACCGCGCGCCAAGCCATAAATGAAAATGACAATTGCCGGCGAACCCCAGCCGAAAGCTATGAGCCACTTCACCAGCTTCTTCTCCGAAATGAATGCGGACACTAGTACTGTGTGCAAGTAGAAGCCTTCACATAGCATCCATGCATAATTTGTGAGCAGGAAGTAATGGAGTATTATATGTAGCGCAATACATGTGGGCTGGAAGAGTGGAAAAGACATATGACAAAAAAAAAACCAAAAATAAATAAATGAGAATCAGTTGGCATGTGAACTGTTATTGAAATTACATTTTCCTGATGCAGCTGCAGGAATTAAAAAAAAACAAAAATATGACAAAGCGAAACGGAATTGCCTGAAAATCGTAACATTTACGATTATTGTGCATACATATTTATTGCCTGCATGCAATTATAGTATGCAAATTCTTCTTGCAGCCTTATGCACTGGGTAAATGGATTTGCACGTTGCAGTTGTTGAATGTAAAAGAAAGTTCCGCTCTTATATACCAACAGCTCTCTGCCACAGGCACACACGCTTACATACATATGTATGTGAACTGTCTGCCACTTACCGGACTTTTTTGCAGCAGCTCCGTATCGGGCACCACCACCAAATACCAAATCAGCCAAAGTGAGTTGTTCGCTGCAAAGGATGTAAATAAATTCATGTGGAGTGTTATGCGCGCACATTTTAGCGACCTGCAATGAACGCGAAGAGTAGTTAATTTATTAGCTACGGGTTAATGTTTGAGTACGGGTTTCAGATGCATTTGTCTTTAAAGAAAAAAAAAATGCCTTAAGATAAAACCATTGCCGACAGTGAACAATTTTTGAATGATTAAAAAGTAAGACGTTCACAGAATATTTTGCATTCGGTTATGATTTTTTCGATGGGCCTTTGTAAAATTTTAGGACAATTAGCTTATAACAGGTACTGCAAATATCATAGCCAGCTAATAGTAATGCTTTTCACATCGCTTCAATAACGATAAAGGATTTTTTCATTAGTATTTTGTCCAGCATCCGAGTATTTACTTAGTGCTTTGTTTAGTAGAGCTGGAGAGGTGCTCCACCGTATTACCTCTTCTCAGCTGGGGGTGCGCAGTGAGAACACCTTCCTAAACAATTTTAAAAGTTTCCAAGTACTAAATACTAACCAGAGAGCCAAGGTATACATAAAGAGAACAAAAAGTCTTGCATTATTCAAACAAAAATTGTAGGTTCTGTATATTTTTTTGTACATTAGCTGTAAATTGCAATTAGCATGAAATATATATTTAATTTCCTGTTTGTGGAAATTCAAATAAACTGTATAGTTATTAATACTATATTCAATCAGTTAACCACAGGTTGTGACATATATCATATCATTAGTGTTTAAGAATGACAAATTAAATTTCATTGTCTATGGTAATTAGCAAAATTCGACAAATTTAAACAAATTCACATACATTTTTTTAAAACTTTTAATTAAAATATTTTGAAAAAATGTTGGTACGCAGTTTTGTAGACTACTAAATTATAGCATAGCAAAAATACTGTATAACAAAAATAAAATATACCGTTTATTTTTGGCAGTTTGTTGACGGTATTACGCATTTTTTCCATACAGAGTATGCCAAAAACATTTTTTTATATGGAAAAAATGAGAAACACCTAAAAAAATTAAAAAAAAAATACGGAAATTTATCATAACTACTTCATACTTGCACAGTATTGTACTAATATTGAATGGACTACGAAAATGAATAACTACTCAACATTTGTCTAAGAAATCGAATTAAAAACTTCGAAATTTTGATCCAACCTTGTAGAATTTCCCTAATTTCAGTACAATGTTTGACAGTCGAACTTACATGATTTTTCTTACATAACGATCTACTTTACCAGAAAAAATACTAAACATCAAAAATACTAAACATCAAAAATACTAAACATCAAAAAATGCCAAATAACCACTTTATAGTACTAAATGGCATTATGATATATTTTATGATATTTAAAGTATTTACATTTTTTTTAGTTTTTCATATATTTATTATTATCTACATATTTAGTTAAAAGTGTACTTACTTAAAGTAGCTCAATATAGCGAGAGAAAGTAAAATTGCCACCAGCGATATGCCATAACCGGTTTCGTAGAAAATATTTATGCTGTGCTTCCACTAAAAGTAGAAAAAGGATAATATTTTGAAGTTTTTTAATTTAATTCAGTATGAGTTTAAATGACTAATAATCTAATATATAGAGTATACAATAATTATATCAGGCATGGAGACGAGCTTCACATAACCAATACATGTGTACACTTAAGAGAATTCAACCAACAGAAGCAACTATCAAAAATTATGAGTAAAAAGCAGACTTACTCAATTCTGATCGCTTGATATTTTATATCACTCCTCTACGAGGTTACTTCAATATGCAAAATTATTAATCTGCATATATTATTTTACATGTAATATGGTCATTTTTGCATAAAGCGAATAAATTTATTTTGATATAAAATACCAAATCGTATTTTCAGTTCAAGTCTTAATTTGCATTTGCATATAAATTCAATAGTTAAATCACATTAGTTTTGCACTTAATAGTATATGTACATACATAATTCTAGAATCACTAGAATCAACTTACCTCTAAATCGTCTATATTAACACAGCTCGTGTAATTAGTCCAAGAATAATTCCACACCGGATGTTTGTACCATTCGCCATCTCTGCCGCATTCCTTATGCGCATTTCCTATGTAGAGCATGTGGGGCATGCGGGGCATGTGTGGCAAACAGCAGAACAACATTTTGTTGGACATAAAGCAGAATGTGTGGAAAGAATACAAAGTTTTTTTTTTTAATAAAATTTTAATGAGCTTGATACGCGTATGAGAATGTTTTACAATAGTTAGGTATTCCATTATAAATTTATAAGACATACAAAAACATACATACGTGTGTATATATGCATCGCTATGTAGCAGTTATTTTGTAGACAATTATTTTTGTGTGTAATTAATATTAATCTAGATAAAGTTATGTTTATATGTAGCATGTTTATGTATTTATACTTATATGTACTCAGCAACAGAGTATAATCAAACTATGACGCTACCGCAAAAATGGCTGGAGTTATTCGTTAGAGAATATTTAATTGTTTTTGCCTTTTGAGCGCACTCCAAAGTTTTCGTAGCGATCCTCTCAGGCACTTTTGAACTTTTAGTTGAAGTTAAACAATATCTCCTCTGTGTAAATATGTATATGTTGTTGTGCATTATAACACATACATGCATATGCTTCATTGTAGACAAAGCCATTGTTAGCCACAATGTTGCGCATACGCCTCTCAGCTTCCTTTCTTGTGCTCTACACTGCAGGTGTGTTTCAGAGGGCCATTGCATAGATACATATTTATGACGTAACTATGCGAGCAAGTGTATGCACTTTATTGAGGTTGTAGTTTGGTTATTTCCGCTGCATTTCTTGCTAAATTTTGCAACTTGTAGTGCCATTTATGGTGTGCTTTTTAATTACATTCTTAAGTTGTTCTAGATGCATACATTAAGCAGCGACAGCAATATTGTACTTGTTTAAGTTTAGATCAAATTATGAACACTTGAGGTGTTTTGCTTCAAATTAGTTTTTAACACATACATATATGTATTTGAGCATATTTTCAAGTTAATTCAAATATTTCAAAATTAATTTGCATAACTATCATAGTTTGCCAGATTTCCAGCAAATAATTTAATTTATGCTAATAAATTTAAACACAATAATGATTCTTATTATTGATGCCAAACGAATTCAAGTGTAACTACATTGCATAAGCATACGTACATACCCATTTATAAGCTTTAAGGTCAGAGAACGTCAAAAAAAGTAAATTTTAGGTCTTGAAATCTATAACGAGATATGCACTATTTATTCGTAGATTTATTAGGATTTTTTATCTTTTGGTACTTAGAACAAGACTTGAATTATTTTGACTTGTACATTTTGACCAAAAAATACCGCTAAATATTGTGTTTCCTTAGATCCAGATGTCCGACAAATTCTGTCGATACTCACTCAATTTTAGGAACTAAGAGAAAAGTCACTACAAAACTTGTCTTCTACCATAAGATAGAAAACCATTATTTTTCTTGCACTTACAATCTCTACTTAAGCGAAATTGATCTGGTATCCGTAGTAGGTTTTGCAAGGCGAAACTAAATGTTATTGCGATCTGAAATTAATATTGGACCTTTCTTACGGTTCTCGTATCAAGTTTTTTGAACTTTTTATTATAACGAAACTTTTCCAGACTGTGGCGGCCCTTTCGTGATTTTTCGGATTTTTGTGATATTTCAATTCTTCTTCGAGATCTTTCGTACATTTTTCATTACTTGCTCGGAACCCTTTGGGTATTTTTCAGCAGATCTTTCGAAATATTGTAGAAATTATCGGGCGGAGATTTTATGATGCCATTGGCCAGCTGTTAAAATCCAAAGCGAATCGAGGTTGAGTTTTCATGGCGCCAATTAAACTCGAAAAGTCTCTCTGGCAAGTAGTATGAGAGGCTCTTGAGAAGAAAGGAGTCTACGGTAAGCGCGTCCTTACGATTATAAAATAGATCGTAAAAGGCATTCGAAAATCACTTTTATAGCGGCTATATAGAAATGAAAGCATCCGGCTGATTTACATATCTACTCGTTTAATTGTTTGCGCCATCGGTCATTTGATTTGTTTAGTTGCTCCTTAAATTTTTGTAATCCCTTTAAAGAGCTTTCTTAAGCAAAAATTGTCTTCAAACACTCCTCCGCGTGAATCGCTTATGACTTGAGAGTGCAATAGATTGACGAAAAAACTGTCAATTTCCGGCTGGGGCTTTTGGTGACGCAAACGACAAACAACCAAGGAGATACATGTTCTTTATTACTGGTCAAACACAAATTTTTTTTATGCCATCAGAAGTTTTTAAGTGCAGTCAAATATTTAATTCGAAACTTAAAGCTCAAAAACACCTTCTTTTAATTCAATGACGATACAAATCTTAGCCACTCCATACCTCTAGGAAGTCATAAAACTGCTTGTTTCCTGATTTTTAAGCCGAATTTAGTTTTGGAAATTATGGAAAGACCACGAAAACAAAACCCGAAATTTAAATGCCCAAAAAGTGTAGCGCGTCCAGCCAATAACATATATACATATTTACTAAATGACCTTTCCACATCAACGAAACCGATACCACAGTAACAAAAAAATAATTGAAACCAAATCTCTAAAGTATACGTCGAACGGAAGTGCCATAAAAGTTAAGAGCTATGGTCAGAAGTTGAACAAATCACAGTAAAACTAAGTACCAGGGACAAACAAATAAAACCAAATTTTGTGGACGTGCTGCGTTGGCATTCAAATCCCGGTTCATGAAGAATGTCAGATATCGAATTACTGCGTCAACTATGTACACCAAAAACACGCACTGAACCACACCGGTGCGTCGTTTTTATGAACCAAACAAAAATAGGATTTTATGTTAAGCATTTTGTTTAGTGCAGTGAGGAGAGGCAAGGAGAAAATTACACACAAAAGCACCAACGGCAATACAAATCAACTTAACAAGGAAAATCACAAAAGAAAACGCAAACTATTTTACGCCACCGCAAACACGATCTGACCACTAAATGCAATAAAAACAACCGCACAAATGGAGTTTACGTTTCAGTGTATTTGGTTTGGAAACAAGCGGGGAAAATTACTAGCCACCAGCAGTGAGGCAACAACGAAAGTAGAACAGCGTTAGTCGTGTAGAAATACACGAAATGCTACGCTAAATACTAGCCACACCAACCACAATGGAAACCACAACAGGAAACATAGAAAAAGCAACGAAACATGCTGTTGCCAAATATACAGCATACATACGCAAACATATGGAAAAGGCAAAAAGTGAGTCGATAGCCTTGTTAGCAATGAAAAAGTCAACCAACCGCTTGTGTGTGTTACATAAATATCTTTCTTTAGCTGCGGTCATAATGAGCTAACAAAAGTCAGTTAACCTACAAAAAAGGAAATACCAAAAAATAAAAAAAAATGCCAACAAGAATGAAAGTAACACTCAAGCACGCACAGACACAGACAGCGGCGAGCAGTGGGAGCACTTAAAGTGACGAAGAGCATAGAATTTTACGAGTAAGCGCTTAAAGTTGCCAAGTCGCACCGACTCAGCTGAGAATTAGACAGCCAGCCACAAAATAAACGAAAGTGATGATGGCGAAGGTGGCTGAGTTTTTTTTTCTTTGCTCAGCTTTAATTTTCCTCTACCTCTACTATTGTGGCATTAGTAAATACATGGATTAATGCGCTTGGAATATGAAAGCTCTGCTATCTCGAATCGTCGAGTCGTGTAACCGGAAGTGGCCGGGTGTGTTGTATGGTAGGTCATTAATCGAATAAGGTTTATCTTGAAACAATAGTGCAATATCGAGTGAATAACCTATTCAAGTTGAGCGAATTTGTGAGCATGGGTGTGTGAGAATTTGGCACAGTACACAAATTTCATTCAATAAATGCATGAATGTGTACAGATATTTTGTGTGCGTGCCGATGTCTGCAGACAAAATCCCTCCCGAGCTAGCATAGACTGTGCAGTATTCATAAGGTACTTATATACTATCTAATTTCCGCCCTTCTGCTGATACTAACTATTATATGACGCAAGCATGTGCGTGTGGCTCCATTAGCAGACACTATGTCGTATACGTAATGTGTTTTTATGTAGCCCATTGTGTAAAGCCATTAGGCCTGAGATTTCAAGCATAAGTGAGCAAATGTCTTTAATTTTATGTGGGTGGATGTTTATATGCTTTCACTTAACTGGCTTTTCTCTTAAACTGGAATATTTTGAGTGAAAAAAATGAATTTAAAATGAGCAGTGACTGTTGATGATTACAGATTATTTCATGCGATATATCCTCTTGGCATTACCAGGCTTTTCATAGTTGGATGGTCATCTACACATCTTGCCTTAATACAAAACTGACTTGGTTTCTTCTTTGAGCATGCGGGAGCTTTATATTTCCGAGCAACATATGCCTAGGAAGATTGATTAAACTATTTCTTTACAAACTTTTATCAATCGAATTGTATCGGCATTTTATTTTGTTAAAGAATACGAGCACGCTGAAAATCGCTTTAGAAAAACACTTGTTGGGGCATTAATTTTAGACATTAAGGTAAGCTATCACGGATTGAGCAAAAGACTATCGCGAGGTATGAGAGACATGTAACTGGCCAACGTCAAACATATTTGCTTACGACCTATATCTGTAATACGATATTACCAAGTGTGGGATTTAAAAAAAAAAAAATGTACTGTGAGCTATAGAGATTTGGGAGAATTCAAATGGATTTAGAGCCGTTTTTTAGAGTATCCTGTACTTTTACATACTTGTGTCAAAGGCTAGAACTACAAGGTAGAGCTTGTTTTATTTAAATACAGATAGAAGGGCCCTTGGGCACATATTCTCTCGATCGGAGGCGTTCATTTTGTGCTCTCTGGCCGGAAGCTATCCGAGAAGCGATTGAAAGAGATATAAGTTGCTTTTTACTGGCTTTAAATGTGAAACCTAATCAAGCTCATAATATTGTGTGTGGTAATTGACAGGTGGATTTTACTAGAAAAGCTAAAGCGGCTGCAAACGACCACCCTTGCTGGAATCTGCTATGCACTTCAGCGCTTTGCTTAGCATGGCATCCGTGAACATTGCA